ACGGGCTGGTGTACATACCCTCTCGTTGGGAGGAACTCCTCCCAAAGAGATGGTACCAACGGTGGGCCAGCTACGCTAACTGTAGCGTTAGCGTAGCGTAGTGTAGCGGAAAAGCGCTACAATGTAGCGTAGCGTTAGCACATTTTTCAATTTCTGCGCTAACGCTACGCGCATGGGGGAAAATTTTGCGCTAACATTTAGTGTAGCGTTAGCGCAATTCCCCCCATGTGCGCTAACGCTAGGCGCACAGGGCGCAAAAACCCGCCCTCTACGCTGTGTTACAGCCGTTTTTTGGGCGTTTTTTGCCGCTAAAAACGCTGTAGCGTAGCGTAACACAGTGTAGTGGTGCCAGCGGTGCGCTAACACTACACCAAAATTTGGCTAGTGTTAGCGCCGCTACAAGTTAGCGTAGCGGCACGCTAACACTACATGAAAAAAAAATGGTGCCGCTACGCTAACGCTACATGGGCCTGTAGTGTAGCGGCCCACCGCTGCTGGTACACAGACCAGCTTGTTGGCAGGAATCCTTCCCGGCGAGCTGGTGTAGCTCGCCGGGAGGAACCTCTCTTGGCAAGCTGGCATGTAGATGTTTGTTGAGCGGGGTTCCTCCTGACGGTGTGGGCTCTGCCTCTCTAGGCCGAGGGGGGGGCGGGGTTTGTTTTCTTTTCTTTTTTTTGAAAAAAAAATCCCACTCTCAACCAGTAAAAGGGCGGTATCCGCGGATACCCACCAGCGCCAGCGGATGCGGATGCCTGATTTCGCTGAAATTGTCAGTGGATATCCAGATTTGAAGCAACAATCTCTAGCCTGGTTCAAAAGTAAGAAATTTGTTGCTACCAAAATTACCATTTCATAAATAATATTTATAGCCAAATTTCACAGCCTTACAGACAAAAATGAAGTAACCAAGAATCTATCACAGGTCATTCAATACTTGCAATTAATGAATGATTTTTTTATCCAATTAAACTGGAAGAAATGCTATCTGGAACAAGAAAAGGGATTGGGTTTTGGACAGTTATGGATTCAAAATGCTCTCAAGGTGAGTTTGACTTCCAACCACTCATTGAGTAGAAGAAATTTGATTGAAATATTTGGATAGGTACCTACACACATATATCAAAAATCAAACTAGAAGGTAGATCCAAAGATGAAATATTGTGGCATTTCAATTTATTACCAACACATACCAGATTCATTTACAACCACTTTAAACACTTCTCCATTCAGGAGTTCAACATTAATGTTCCCCTTTTGGAAAATTTTGGATTGCCCAATTGGTCTGACAATGAATGGGGAAACTATCTATCTAATGATACCCATGCATTTAGTAGTGCAATG